ATGGACGCATCATTGAGATCTTTGGCTCTGGTACTGCTGCTGTCGTGTCTCCTGTCTCCATTATCAATTATATGGACGAAGATTTGAGTATTCCACTTGATGGAATGGACGGAAAAGCCGGGAAACTTGCAGAAAGAATCTAGAACGAACTGCTTGACATTCAATATGGACGTCGTGACCATCCGTGGTCGATTATTGTAGACTGAGCATAGCATTGTTTCATGATTCTCAGACTTTCTAAAGTAGTGAATTAATGATCAAAACAATATCATTCATTCAATCTGTTGTGCTTGTACTTATGACACTAGCAAACGTTTACTGACTGTTGTGAACTCAAGTTTTTCCTTGTTGTTGTCGTTTCTTTTGATCAAAAACTCGTTGATTTTGAACTGAACGTTGTCGATGATAGTCACAAAAGGAGTGCATTAATCCATTCTTTTTTAACGTACGTGGCTCGAAACATTTTCCATTACGATAACGGCATTGAATCTCTGGTAGTATTGATGTGTTAGACATTGCAGCTTCAGAGTCGAGACTGTCAAAAGCTGTCACAATTTCATTTAAACTTGCTACTTTGTTATCTTCAATCTTTGCTTCGTATTGCTTCTTGAAATTCGAGAGAGAATGTAATTCATTACATGTCATTGATGTATCAAACGTGGTATTAAGATTTGGTACATTAGAAGAAACTTTTGGAAAGATGGAGTGAAAGCTTGGCAAAGTACATTCGTCTTCGTGGCAAGATTTTGTGCTTGAGAAGTACATGAGAAGAATAAAAATTGAATCATATTGACGAAGTTTTGAATGCGACATTCAAGTTAAGAAATCTGTGATATCGAGAAAGTCGTTTCTTCTTCCACGTCATTGATTGTCACTCAAGAAAAAGAAGTCAAGACTTTATTGAATGTGATGAATATTAAAAAAATGTTTGATTATAATCGAAAATTATGGAAAGCGGAGGTGAAGTAGAAAAGTTTGCACAAAATTATTCACTTATTTTGTGGAAGTGTGCAATATTTATTGAAGAAATTTGTTACAAATGTAACGATTCTTAACTTAAATGACTTGTGGTCTCGTACCTTATTCAGGAATTACATGGCACTGGCTACATATCAAGTTTATTAACAATCCGGCATAAAACTTTCTTTATATATCATGAGAATTAAATAGTGTTGCTGATGCTATTTTGACCAACATCCAAATATTTGAACTTTGCTCTGGTCATGGCTCCTGCATCCGTGCTGGATCTCTTTGGCCTCTTGCAAAGTAGCACATCTCAACTTCACCACAGTTTGAGTGTTCATCTCACTGTACCATCCGCTTCAGAGTTAACATCATCGATAAATCAAGTGACGACCTTGACGTCTAGTACTCTGCGCTCAACCTTCACAAGCAGTCGCAGTAATACTGAATCTAATACCCTCTCTAAACCGAACATTATCGCTATCGAGTGGCCCGCTCAAATTCTGGCAATAGATGAGATCGTTTTACTTATCATTTCGTATCTAGATGGTGAGTCGCTCTCGCGTGTTCAAGGCGTGAGTAAAGCTTGGCGAGAATTCATTCAGCAGCATCTTGAGTGTCTTTATCAAGTTTTGATCTACGAACGCCAAGTTTTCCATACCGTCATTACCTCCAGGTCGGCTTTCCTATCGTATCTCTTTTCAAAGCGACACGAACTTGATCAAGAGTTAGCGCACACACACGCTGTACAATCAAAGTATCAGGCATTGGAACAATACTGTACCTCGACTGAAGATCATGGTTTTGTCGCCATGTTTTGCGATATTATCGAGTTTACGAATCCCAAAATTGCTCGATTTGTGGCTTTGAAACGCCAGAGTGCATTGAGCATGGTACTTGCTGCGACTCCAACGCACGTGATGAAATTTCGGAAACAATCCAAATTTGTAGGTCCAATTACTTTTGTACCCGTTGATAATCCACTCTGGCCTGTATTTACGCTCTCGCCTGTGACTGCACGAGGATTCTTGGGTTACGCCTTTGATCACGTCAGAGTAGTTCATGGCTATGAAGCTCTCAAGGATACAGTCATCAAGTCGATACTTAAAGACCTTATGATCTTTGACACTATGGAACACATTGCAGCATACGAACGAAGGATTGGCTACGCACCTTATGCCACAAGTCTTGATTATGATGCTGAGATGCCAGATGTGGGCCGTCATCTCATCTTCTCTTCTTCATTGCGTCGACAACTTGAAAAGTATCCAGTAGCAGAACGAATTGGCCGCCTTTATGTCCGTATCAAAGCCGTGGACAATTGCATCGCGACAACTTTGGCCAACCTTTAAACTCGATATCTTTTCCATTTTGGTATCCAGTGAATCTTATCATTTTTGCTGTTAACTCTCCGTCTTACCTAGATGCTCATGCAGCATCACCTTTTCAAATTTTAATAAAAATTTGTTATCTAACAAAAATTGACTTTAGACCTCTTAGACAATTTTCGTAATTAACCAGGGACACATTAAGATCGTATACTGTTAAGATACCGATATTTTGAGTATACCGTTAAATCGGCTTTAAATTAATGGAGGCAAGATCTAAATATGTGGCAGAGCCAGTTGTACCGGTTGAATGTCTGGTATCGAATCAATAGAAATCAG